CACTGTGATACACTCAGTCCCACTCACCACTCTGATACACTCAGCCCCACTCACCACTCTGATACACTCAGCCCCACTCACCACTCTGATACACTCAGCCCCACTCACCACTCTGATACACTCAGCCCCACTCACCACTCTGATACACTCAGCCCCACTCACCACTGTGATACACTCAGTCCCACTCACCACTCTGATACACTCAGCCCCACTCACCACTCTGATACACTCAGCCCCACTCACCACTATGATACACTCAGCCCCACTCACCACTCTGATACACTCAGCCCCACTCACCACTATGATACACTCAGCCCCAGTCACCACTCTGATACACTCAGCCCCACTCACCACTCTGATACACTCAGCCCCACTCACCACTGTGATACACTCAGTCCCACTCACCACTCTGATACACTCAGTCCCACTCACCACTCTAATACACTCAGTCCCACTCACCACTCTAATACACTCAGTCCCACTCACCACTCTGATACACTCAGTCCCACTCACCACTCTGATACACTCAATATCACTCACCACTGATACACTTAGTCCCACTCACCACTCTGATACACCCAATATCACTCACCACTCTGATACACTCAGTCCCACTCACCACTCTGATACACTCAATATCACTCACCACTCTGATACACTCAGTCCCACTCACCACTCTGATACACTCAGTCCCACTCACCACTCTGATACACTCAGTCCCACTCACCACTCTGATACACTCAGTCTCACTCACCACTCTGATACACTCAATATCACTCACCACTCTGATACACTCAGTCCCACTCACCACTCTGATACACTCAGTCCCACTCACCATTCTGATACACTCAGTCCCACTCACCACTCTGATACACTCAGTCCCACTCACAACTCTGATACACTCAATATCACTCACCACTCTGATACACTCAGTTCCACTCACCACTCTGATACACTCAGTCCCACTCACCATTCTGATACACTCAGTCCCACTCACCACTCTGATACACTCAGTCCCACTCACAACTCTGATACACTCAATATCACTCACCATTCTGATACACTCAGTCCCACTCACCACTCTGATACACTCAGTCCCACTCACAACTCTGATACACTCAATATCACTCACCACTCTGATACACTCAGTCCCACTCACAACTCTGATACACTCAATATCACTCACCACTCTGATACACTCAGTTCCACTCACCACTATGATACACTCAGTTCCACTCACCACTATGATACACTCAGTCCCACTCACCACTCTGATACACTTAATATCACTCACAACTGATACACTCAGTCCCACTCACCACTCTGATACACTCAGTCCCACTCACCATTCTGACACACTCAGTCTCACTCACCACTCTGATACACTCAGTCCCACTCACCACTCTGATACACTCAGTCCCACTCACCACTCTGATACACTCAGTACCAGTCACCACTCTTATACACTCAATATCACTCACCACTCTGATACACTCATTCCCACTCACCTGATGCACAGTCCCACTCACCATTCTGATGTACACAATCTCACTGGTCTTCATCCTATTCAACACTTTCGTGTTTATCCTGTTGAACACCCCAGTCATCACCCTGTTGAACACCCCAGTCATCACCCTGTTGAACACCCCAGTCATCACCCTGTTGAACACCCCAGTCATCATCCTGTTGAACACCCCAGTCATCACCCTGTTGAACACCCCAGTCATCATCCTGTTGAACACCCCAGTCATCACCCTGTTGAACACCCCAGTCATCACCCTGTTGAACATCCCAGTCATCACCCTGTTGAACATCCCAGTCATCACCCTGTTGAACACCCCAGTCATCATCCTGTTGAACACCCCAGTCATCATCCTGTTGAACACCCCAGTCATCACCCTGTTGAACACCCCAGTCATCACCCGGTTGAACACCCGAGTCATCACCCTGTTGAACACCCCAGTCATCACCCTGTTGAACACCCCAGTCATCACCCTGTTGAACACCCCAGTCATCATCCTGTTGAACACCCCAGTCATCATCCTGTTGAACACCCCAGTCATCATCCTGTTGAACACCCCAGTCATCACCCTGTTGAACACCCCAGTCATCACCCTGTTGAACATCCCAGTCATCACCCTGTTGAACACCCCAGTCATCATCCTGTTGAACACCCCAGTCATCACCCTGTTGAACATCCCAGTCATCACCCTGTTGAACATCCCAGTCATCACCCTGTTGAACACCCCAGTCATCATCCTGTTGAACACCCCAGTCATCATCCTGTTGAACACCCCAGTCATCACCCTGTTGAACATCCCAGTCATCACCCTGTTGAACACCCCAGTCATCATCCTGTTGAACACCCCAGTCATCATCCTGTTGAACACCCCAGTCATCATCCTGTTGAACACCCCAGTCATCATCCTGTTCAACACCCCAGTCATCACCCTGTTGAACACCCCAGTCATCACCCTGTTGAACATCCCAGTCATCACCCTGTTGAACACCCCAGTCATCATCCTGTTGAACACCCCAGTCATCATCCTGTTGAACACCCCAGTCATCATCCTGTTGAACACCCCAGTCATCATCCTGTTGAACACCCCAGTCATCACCCTGTTTAACACCCCAGTCATCATCCTGTTGAACACCCCAGTCATCATCCTGTTGAATACCCCAGTCATCACCCTGTTGAACACCCCAGTCATCACCCTGTTGAACATCCCAGTCATCACCCTGTTGAACATCCCAGTCATCACCCTGTTGAACACCCCAGTCATCACCCTGTTGAACACCCCAGTCATCATCCTGTTGAACACCCCAGTCATCATCTTGTTGAACACCCCAGTCATCATCCTGTTGAACACCCCAGTCATCATCCTGTTGAACACCCCAGTCATCACCCTGTTGAGCACCCTAGTCATCACATTGTTGAATACCCCAGTCATCACCCTGTTGAACACCCCAGTCATCACCCTGTTGAACACCCCAGTCATCACCCTGTTGAATACCCCAGTCATCATCCTGTTGAACACCCCGGTCATCATCCTGTTGAACACCCCAGTCATCACCCTGTTTAATACCCCAGTCATCATCCTGTTGAACACCCCAGTCATCACCCTGTTGAACACCCCAGTCATCATCCTGTTGAACACCCCAGTCATCATCCTGTTGAACACCTCAGTCATCACCCTGTTGAACACCCCAGTCATCACCCTGTTGAATACCCTAGTCATCACCCTGTTGAACACCCCAGTCATCATCCTGTTGAACACCCCAGTCATCACCCTGTTGAACACCCCAATCATCATCCTGTTGAACACCCCGATCATCACCCTGTTGAGCACCCCAGTCATCATCCTGTTGAACACCCCAGTCATCATCCTGTTGAACACCCCAGTCATCATCCTGTTGAACACCCCGATCTTCATCCTGTCGAACACCCCAGTCATCATCCTGTTGAACACCCGAGTCATCACCCTGTTGAACACCCCAGTCATCACCCTGTTGAACATCCCAGTCATCACCCTGTTGAACACCCCAGTCATCACCCTGTTGAACACCCCAGTCATCATCCTGTTGAACACCCCAGTCATCACCCTGTTGAACACCCCAATCATCATCCTGTTGAACACCCCGATCATCACCCTTTTGAGCACCCCAGTCATCATCCTGTTGAACACCCCAGTCATCATCCTGTTGAACGCCCCAGTCATCATCCTGTTGAACACCCCAGTCATCATCCTGTTGAACACCCCGATCTTCATCCTGTCGAAAACCCCAGTCATCATCCTGTTGAACACCCCAGTCATCATCCTGTTGAACACCCCAGTCATCATCCTGTTGAACACCCCAGTCATCACCCTGTTGAACATCCCAGTCATCACCCTGTTGAACATCCCAGTCATCATCCTGTTGAACACCCCAGTCATCATCCTGTTGAACACCCCGATCTTCATCCTGTCGAAAACCCCAGTCATCATCCTGTTGAACACCCCAGTCATCATCCTGTTGAACACCCCAGTCATCATCCTGTTGAACACCCCAGTCATCATCCTGTTGAACACCTCAGTCATCATCCTGTTGAACACCCCAGTCATCATCCTGTTAAACACTCCGATCATCACCCTGTTGAACACCCCAGTCATCACCCTGTTGAACACCCCAGTCATCATCCTGTTGAACACCCCAGTCATCACCCTGTTGAACACCCCAGTCATCATCCTGTTGAACACCCCGATCATCATCCTGTTGAACAACCCAGTCATCATCCTGTTGAACACCCCGATCATCATCCTGTTGAACAACCCAGTCATCATCCTGTTGAACACCCCGATCATCATCCTGTCGAACACCCCAGTCATCACCCTGTTGAATACCCCAGTCATCATCCTGTTGAACAACCCAGTCATCATCCTGTTGAACAACCCGGTTATTAACCTGTTGAATACCCCATCTTGGTAGTGTTCAACACTCTCGTCTTCCTCCCGTTAAACACCTTAGTCATCATCCTGCTGAACAACTTAATCTTATTCCTGCTGAACACCCCAGTCTTTCTCCTGCTAAACTCCCCAATCATCGTCTTGTTTTAAACCGCCAATCTTTGTCCTGTTGAACACGTTCTGCTGAACACCGAAGTCTTTAACCTGCTGAACACCCTAATCTTCATGCTGCTGAACACCCCAATCCTTTTCCTGTTGAAGACTCCATTCTTCGTTCTGCTGAACACACCAATCTTCGTCCTATTAAACACACCTTTAATAAGAAAAGAAAGACTGATGGTCCTAATCCGTCTTCATTTCCAAAACTGAATCCTGAAGTAATCATAAACCTGTTTTTAACCTGATATTGACCTCGCATTTACACTTTTTACCACTGACCGCAAATCTTATGAGCTGATATTTTCCCCATCTTGATTCCTAACCGTAAATTACCTCTACTGACCAAATATTTAGTAGCCAGTTGGCACTCGTGACCTCTACATCCCCCATTCTCAG